TTTCTCCACTGAGATAAACTAATTACTTTCACTTTGAGTAAGAATTTCACGGAGAAATCCCTCAACACGTTTTATGAGGTCACCACGACCTTGATCTTTGACCGTTGACCACCAAATTTCAATCAGTTCATTAATTAGTCCAACTGAACGTTTGCACCAAATTTGAAGACTTCCCCTTAACATGTTTTTGAGATATCGTGTACGCAACTCGGACCACGTGGAAACATAATTCCCCCAGCCACTGGGTGTCATGTGTGACTCATTCCCTCTGTGATCTAAATACAGTTTTGACATATTTTCTATAAAAACAGGACGTAACTATGGTGGAACAATCAAATCTAAGAATAATGAACCTAAACAACAGATTGTTCTGTGTTTTAATGTTCACGTAACAGAAACTCCCTCTGGGGATCTATGACCTATGACCCCGACAGGTCCGTCACCAGTTAAATAAGATTTGAAGTGCACGAAAAAAAACTGACTCCTCCTGAAGTTTCAGTCAATTTCTTATATTTTATTACTGTTGCACCATTTATACAAGTACATATAATTTTGAATGCATCAATTTCCATATCATCTTTTTGTTAGTTTGAATGGACGTGTGTTGTGGAGATAGCGGCGGTGAAACATGGGATGAAAATATCGACTGCAGTTGCCATTGATGGAGACTGAGAATCTTTTTTTTTATTATTTTTATTATTATTTTTTCCACTTGACCAAAAAGACAGGACTACAGGTTCACCCAACCACGGACATGCAATTCACCGAGTCAAGAGAAGAAGAGAAAATGAACCAGGCGACGCACGGCGCTCCTCGAGGGTTTGTTTCTGCTACGGTTTGACAAGTGTGGCGAGGAAAACGCTGCGAGTCACCGGATGGAACTGAAACGTGTGATGGCAGAGATGAGTTAATATATATAAATACACATACACACACATGTATGTACGCAACAGTGGAGAGTATGAAAGTCAGTTGGTTTAATTTGTAATCTCCAGATTTTCTTTTCCTTTCTTCTTTAATTCTTTCCCTCCTTCCTTTCTCTTCTTTCTCTCTTTCCTTGTTCTTTCATTCTGTCGTTCCTCCTGTGCTTTTTATTTCAAAAATGTCTTTTTGCTGCTTGAGTCCTTCCTTCCTTCCTTCCTTCCTTCCTTCTTTCCTTTTTCTTGACAGCTCATCTTCCACTGCTGCGTACATGCACTGACTGTACATTTCATATATATATATATTCTGGAAAAAGTAAAGAAAACGAATGAGGCATGAAAATCAGAGGCTGCCTTTCGTGTGCAAGGCTCTTCCATCCCATAATGACGGCGTGGCGTATGGTTGCCACAGAAACGTGGACCACAGTAGATGGGGCTGCCGATGTCTCCGACCGACGACACTGATTCAAAATGGAGGAAAAACGGATTCACTGACGTTCCTGCAACACGCACATGAAACTGGTTCCACTGGTTTTATCGGCTCCGCCAAGAAGCTCATGATTTCACCCCAGTGTGTGTGTGTGTGTGTGTGTGTGAGTGTGTGTGTGTGTGTGTGTGTGTGTGTGTGTGTGTGTGTGTGTGTGTTTGAACTGACGAGACATGGGCCAAGAAAGATCTCGTTAAATTTATGAGAGGAACAAAGGGGCGGCTCCAGGATTTTTTAAAAATCTCTTTCTCTATCGTTGTGAAACTGGATATTCTCTAGATATTTTCACTGATCTGAATAATCAGACATTTTTGAGTTTCTAACACTGGGAGTGTGATCGGATGCAGCTGTCGGGCCTTGGCGGAGGTTTGACGGACTTTCTGGTTAAAGTAGTTTGTGGATTTGATTAAAGGTGAGGGAACCTAAAGAAGAGAGGGGTTGAGTTTAGTTTATGAGCAAATAATGTTTCAACTAATCTGTAAAATATAAAATCTCAAAATCTTTTTCATCATTTAATTCTCAAATTTGATTAATTTGGAACTGAGTTTGGATTTGAGGACATGATGTAGGACTGATTCATTTTTACTTCAGCAAGCGAAGGATTTGGTTTCTGCCGTGAAACTGCACAGTCGCAGGAAAGAGTTTAAGAGTTGAGTCTGTTTTCTACCGACACGATGATGACGCTCCTGAACGTCACGTGCCTGGAGGATCTTTCCTCTGGAAAAACAAATCTTATCGTTTGTCTTCAGGTGCAGGATCAGAGATTTCCAGCTTTCTAAGAACATCGTAGACATCTCTTCAGTGAGGCTTCGCAGGTTTTATTAGCGTATTACAAATGTTAAAAAACCACTTAGTTCATTACAATATACCTAAGGGTTTCAGTACAAAATCTAGAATCTTATCAGAAAAATTCCTATGACTGTTTTTTATGTCTAAGAATGTGTTTTTCTCTGCAAAGCTCTTCAGCAACCTCCAAAATGTCTTAGAAAGCCTGGACGTTCTCCGTCCTCACGACAAACGTCAACTCCTCTGAGAAGTTTAGTCGTCAGAAAAAAAAGTGGGAGAGAAAAGTGAGAATCAACACAAACGAAGCCTTGGGGGGGGCACGACACTCCTCTGAGGAGGAGGAGGAGTGGGAGGAGCTGAAGTGTGGACGTCCAGCTGGAGAAGTGATTTCTCAAACCGCTCCACCAACTCCTTCTTATCAGTTTCCCCAAATTTAGATTCTGTGACGTCCACAGAGCAGCAGGACACGTGAGAACCGTCGAGACGCAACCTCTGGACCGCGCGAGGGGGTGTGATGGATGTGATGGTGAAGCCGACACAGACTCGTATCAAAGTTCAAATACTACAGCAGAAAAAAATAGAATAAAACATAACAATAATAATAGCAATAATCATCTGCAGCGGTGGAAAACTTCTCCAGGTGTTTGCTCCAGTCCTCCTCATTCAACAAATCCTCATCATTACAATTATTATCATTATTGTTATTATCAGAATACGGGCGGGCTAGTTAATTTCTTCTTCACTTTTTTTTATTCTTCATCGTCGTTGAGTTAGGAACTTTATTTTTTCATTTCCGAAAAGAAGCTGTCCATTAATCTTGAACTGCTACGGTTTGATCCTTGCTTGGTGCCTCTGTGGCGTTCGCCTCCTTGGCCGGAGGTTCGGCGGCTGGTGTTGAACTAGGTGCAGCGGCGGTTTCCTTTGCCGGTGCGGGAGCCGGCGCCGCCGCCTCTGTGGGCTTGGGGTCAGGGGAGGCCGCGGGAGCCGTCTCGGCTTTGGCTGCTGGTGCCGCTGGGGCCTCAGTCTTTTTGGTGTCGGCCTCATCTTTGCTCTCGGACGCCGGGGCGGGAGCAGCGGCCTTGGCCTCAGGCTCCTTGGGGGCAGGGGCCGATTCTTTGGCCGGGTCGGGGGCGGCTGGTTTCTCCTCGGCCTTGGCGGGCTCCGCGCTCTTCGGCGCCTCTGTTTTCGGCTCAGCGTTGGCGGCAGGTTTCTCGGGCTCCTTTGCGGCGGGAGCTGCGTTCTTTTCCTCGTCTTTGACCGCTGCGGTGTCTGCCGCCGGCGCCTCCTTGGCCGCTGTGTCGTTTGCTACTTCCTTAGCGTCGGTGGCAGCCTGGCCCTCATCTTTGTTGTCTTTCGGAGCTTCACTCTCCTCAGCAGAGGCCCCCTCTGCTTTGGCATCTTTGTCTTTGGCCTTGTCATCATTTACGTTGTACCCCTTCTTCTTTTTGCTGAGCTTGCCTCCCATTTTGTATCTCTGGCTTCTGAAACCGAAGAGAAAAAACATTCAGTATTATTGGAAAATAAAGAGTTTGATTTGTTAATTCACTCATTGAGGAGAATGTGCAACTGGAAGCAAAGACATTCTAGAAAAATAAAACTTGGGCACATGTGAAGCGTCTCTTCTTCTTTTGTAGCCGCACGATTATGGAGAAACATCATTTTGCATTTTGATGAAAGTTCTCAACCTGAACCTCAGAGAGAGAAATTCCTCAGATTCTGACAGATGAGCCTGAGAACAGGAAACAGTGAGCGGACAGTGATTTTAAAGTTTAAGGAACGAAGACTCAAAGATCTTTCAGCTGATTAGACACTAGAATGGATTGATTTCTTTTTAGATCTTTTTTTTCTTGGCTTCGTTATTTAGTCAATGAGCAGGTAGACACACACACACACACACACACACACACACACACACACACACACACACACACACACACACTGCTGGCTCTCCTTCAGACAAAGCTTTTTTTTCATCGACATCACCATCTGTCGACTCAATGGGGGAGAGGACTTCAATAACTCAACAAATCAGGCTTATTAGGAGCAAAGACTCGAGAACGGAACAATTTGTTGTTTTTAAATTGAGTTCTGATGCGAAAAACTGCCAAGAACAATTGGCGGTGTAATGTGTGTGTGTGCGTGTATGTGTGTGTGTGTGTGTGTGTTTTGAATTCTGTCGTCTAAAAGTGCCACGAAAGGAAAAAGCATCAATCTCACGTCTGCTATAAACACAATCACTCAGAGGGAATTCTAAAGTCTTCACTGCTCTTCACAGAACTCATTTTCTCAATCAGTCATTCCAATAACTTCCTGCTGCTCGCCCTATGACCCTTAACATTTTTACCGTCCACACAGTTCCCTCTGTGGCATCGATGCAGTACTTCCTCCCATGCAACAACTTCTTCTTCACTCTTTGGTCTGTGAACCTGTCACTCGCTACGTGCACGTGTACGTTCACTTCATTTGTACTGTGGGAAACACTGGGTACTTTTACCAAACACGAGACTGTTTTGAGAATGGGTATTTATCGTGAACATCCCAGAGTACAAATACTCACACCGATAGATCTTTTTTTTTTAAGCGCTAAAAGAAGGAAGGTGATGTAAAATGTGTGAAACCTGAACAAACCGACCACAGAGCCACTCTGCTGGATACTCTCAGAGTCCTGTGCCGTGTGAATGGGACAGAGCCGGCAGTGAATCCACTCAAAATGCAAATCACCTCGTCGCCACCGAGTGAATTACTCCACTATTCATGCAAAAGTCCCCGGAGCGTCCAACAGTCGGTATCTGTCAGGGCCGCCGCTCCTGCCGCAGCTTTACACCAGCCACAATGGAGGTCCCTCTGCTGCATCACATCATTTGACTGCCGGCTTGTGCTGCCAGAACAATGACTCACAATCATCTGGGCAGACAATGGCTGCTTTTCAAGCGAAGGCACGCCGACGCTGCTGGGCGTGTGGTTCTAGTGTTTGAAGAGCCGGGGCAGGGCCGACACAACCTGGAGAAAATGCTCTGGGACTTGATCTAACCTGCAAACTGCCACCAGGGGGGAACAGAGGACGGCTGCTCCGCAAGCTGTGAACCTCCAGCATCACTTCATTTCAGAGGCATCGTCATTGCTGAGGAGCAACATGAGCTCCACTGGGTTCAGCTGCTGCTTCTGTTCCCCATCGACTCGCCCTCACACGGGAAGCTGCTGAGTTAATCATCTAGAATCGACAATCATCTCGTACAATGTACTTTTACAAACAGCTTGAACTTGACTGTTCATACTCTCCGGGGCTAAAGTTCTTAATTAATGCGCGTTTGAATTGATTTGTACTAATGAATTGTTTTCTTTCCATTCAGACGAAGGAGACGCTGCATCAAACAGCCACCGTGGGTAAAATGAAGCCTCGCTCCTCCACTGACTCTGTGTTGGACATTTTTCAGCTCAGTCTGTGAATTGATTGGTTTCGTTCAGACTGAATTCTTTCCCGTCGCACCCTGATAACTGTGTCACATATCACAATGAAGTCCTCTCTGCACAGATGCCTCGTTCTCTTTGTAAATATTTGATCTCCGTTTCCTCGGAGCACATTTTTGTGGGTCACATTGTAATCCCCGTCTCCCGTCCCTCTGCTCGGGCAGATGGACGTCTCCAGGAGGTCCCGGCGTCTCGGTAAATCCCCGACCTCGGAGCAGCGGCCGGCCGAGCCTGGCCGGTTCTGTGTTCCTGCCATCCAAGATGACATGTTAAAGGTGAAAAGCTGTCACTGCCCCCCCCCCCCCCCCCCCCCCCCCCCCCCCCCCCGCATGGCTCGGACACAGTCGCTCTGCTGGAAAATCGACCTGACGGCAAAGAGCAGGAGCAACTGCTGGAGCACTGATAATACAATAATCAAGAACATGGATGAGCAAGATTTTTATTTGTTGCACTTGCAAAAGAGCTTCTTCTTCTTCTTCTTCTTCTTCTTCTTCTTGTTCTTGTTCTTCTTCTTCTTCTTGGGCCTCACAGTGGAAACACTGCACAGTCTCCAGCTTCATATTGAACATTGTCGTTTCAATTTTACAGTTTTTATTCTCTGTAGTCAAATGTGTATTAAATCAAATCTAAACTGAGGCCACATCCACACAACAACGTTTTCACTTTAAAACTCAACAACTCTGCTACAGAAACACTTGACGTCCACGTTTCTTCTGCTAAAGAGACGAACAGAGACGTCTGAAACGCTACTCGATCCTTTTTTGTCTGAAAACTCCGGGGCTGCGTTTTAGTCTGAACGAGCAGAAACCGAGATGTTTGGAAACGTAGACGCCCACAACCTCTTGCTGATTGGTTGATTTCAGCCTCCACTGATTCGTCACGTGAAGAAAACACCCAGCCTCAGCTCCCAGAGGAGAAACAACATGGAGACTCAAAGTGTCCCTGACCCTGTTGTCTTCGCTGACGGCTGCTGTTCAGACACATTCCGTATTTGACATGGTTCACGTGGAGGAGAACATTTTGATGTGTCTGTCGAATAAACTCTGAATACGTTGTGAATAAGTTTGTTCTTCCCATAAAAGTGACAAAATGGATCTTCAAGGTTTTCACAGAGTCACTGACGGACACTTTGTCATTCTGACTCCAAGCCTGAGGATCAAATCAGCAGTTTCAGCTCCTGCGTCCCACTGAACTGTGTTTTAAAGACAGCTCTGCCTCATCAGACTGACGGAGAACTGATCTGCAGCCGCAGCACGACAAGCTGCTGCCCGCCGCTCAGTTTCAGCCTGGATGGAGGAGCTTTACACTGAATCAGTGCTCAGTCACCCGCTTCTTCAGCCGACCTCCGTGACACAGCAGCTGTCAGAGTCACAACACGACGGCTTCACAAAAAAAGGAAAAGTCCGGTTTGCATGAGAAAGTTCTCATCACAAAAACACAAACAAAGTTTTAATATTTAGAACAATAACTGAACAAACAGCAGAACCAAATGCTTAAGTACACGTACAAACACACACTTGTGAGCATAAGTGCGACAAACAAACCTATTCCCCCGTGTTTAATCTGCTCCAAAGTTAACACAGTAATTACCAGACACGCTCCGATGTTATAATCCTGCACATCTGTGTCACAGCAGCGCTCGTTCAAAACTGTCCAATTAATTAGGGATAAATTAGGTAACGCACAAAGTCCTCGCTCTGACCTCCTGTTGTCCTGTTTTCCACGTCAGATTCAGTGAATCTGTGTTTCAACAAATGTTAAATGACACCGTCGAACTGTGAAGCTTCATGTAAATCTCAAGATGCATGGTTAGCATAGCTTAGCACAAAGACTGGAGGCAGGGGGCAACGGCTAGCCACCAAACCTGCAGGTCAGCTGTTAGCTTTACACCCGAGGAGACGCCAGAGAGCGACGTCTCGTCAACCGCGTCAGGCCGCGTGAACGGGCGAGCAATTTGTGTGTCAGGTCAGATTACTTTGAACCTGGATTCAGCTCAAGACGTGAGGAAGCAGCAGAGTCACAGCACCGAGACCCAAACTCCTCATAAACTAAAGTCTGTGTCGTCAGTCGTTAGAGCTCTGTGGCTGCAGAGCGGTGGAGTGTGAGGGAACACAGAGTCGTGGTTCAGTAGCTCAGGTGAAGTATCTGGCGCCAGCGCTCATAGCATGAATGTAACGCTACGGCTATAATTCACGAGGCTGCACTTCCAGCTGGATGATTTAAGACGAGTCTGTTTCTCCTGCAGCCGGCGAGCTGAGTGGACGGGCAGGAAAACTGGAGCAGAAAATCTGGCCCAATCTCTCTCACACACACACACACACACACACACACACACACACACACACACACACACACACACACACACACACCAGCTCTCTGCATTTAGAGAAAAAAGGTGGAGCAAAGGATGCTGGGGGCTGGGAGGCGGCGAATGACAGATCCAGGAGTCCATGGCCGAGGTTTGAGGAGCAGAGAGTCTCACAGTGCTGCTCTGAATTCTTACATCAGCACCACA